ATTTATATAAATGACGATCATGCCTACATTGTTATCAAAGAAAATTATTGCTTTTAGAACAAGAAATTACGTAAGTGAATTTGAAATCAGAAAGAATTAGAATTGCTAATTCAATTTTCAGGGAGATTTAGATGTAAAACTTGCTAAATATAATGCAGTGGGTAATTAAACATTACTTTCTTAATCTACTTAATTTATCTTAATTCTTAGTCGTCACTATTATCAGTCTGTGGAAATCTTTAAATTTTGCCTATGGTCAAAAATCGCGTCATAGGATTTTTTTCAAATTTTATTAGAGAGTTGTGTTTGGTTTTGAAGAATGGTCTTCATCGAAATATAACAATTGTAGATCAACTCATTTAATTAGTAATGAATTTGTCTGTTTAAAGCACCTTTTGATATAATAATTTAAAACCTGAAAAACGTTGTAAAATGTTTAAGAATATCTTCTGTTTTTTTTTCTATGTTTAATTGATATGTATTGCTCCAACTTTCATAAGAAAAGCAAAGCGGAGAAGGCGAATGAAAACTTCAGTCAGTATAAATGTGTATTAATGGTCTGAAACGTCTTAAATATTTTCACTTAAAATGTTTAGTCTTTTGACATCGTTAAATGTAAGTAATTTAGTAGTCGAGGTTTGGATTTAAACTTATTGCTATTAAAGCGGAATTTTGGCAAGTTATAATCGTGAAATAGGGTCTATGTTTCTGGGTATATAGTCATTTCCGAAATACTGAGAATGGATGCTCTACTACCCATCAGTCAATTATTCGGGATGTTGTTCAAATTTATTTGCATAAACAATGCAATAAGTCTGAGATTTTGTTACGCCCATATTTTGATATACAAATGATATTAAAAATGCAAAAGTTTAATCTTCTCAATGTTCCTTGGGCAAAGTAGTATATCTGAGGTTATGGTTGACTTACGGCACTGAAATCATTATGACTGTTTATCCTATTTTCTTTCATTCAGAAGCAGGTAGCTTTTGTTGTTATGATTACAGTTGTATTCTTTTCATATAAGATTAGAAAATGACTTTATATGGATTTAGTATTCAGTAATCGCATTTTATTAATTTTCTGTAAACACTGTGCATTGTAATAATTTGATATTAAATGTATCCTGATTTCTATAGAACACACAAGCGGTTTAAGTAGAAATTTAAAATTCAAAGAACAAGTCGACGGGCGATATTGTTATGCAATGATATTCTTCTACGAAATAACTTTATCATCTTGCGAGCAGTGAAAGTATATTTTGAGCTTTAATCCTTTTCATTTGTCCCTCTTAATTTAAATTTCATATGGCTGTCACTTAACAGCCTAACTTCAGCTACATAAAAGTATAATTTGCTTTGTACCAATTTAATATTTTCCCTTTAAAATGTATTATATTTTTGAACTTATTCATGTCAAGCTGAAACTTGTGATTCAAACAGCTTTCCTTTAAAAGGAGCGATGAAAGTTTTGAAATAGCCTAAAAAATTGTTTTCGAAATACCTTTGGGTTCCCAACATTTAGGCCAAAGCAAAAAATCTAGAATATCGGATTATTGTGGCGTTTTTATTCCTTTACAGTTCCATATTAATTTATTTCTTTTTTTTTTTTAATAATCCATCACATTTTTTTATATATCAGGCTGTCCTTCCCCCCCTCTCTTAATTTTAGAGTGCCTTTCGTAATTTTTCCTTGTTGCAGTCGAAGGATCCTCCCTTGTAGTTCATTTACCTTTGGCTTCTAGAGACCTATTTTTTTTCCATTAGCGCTTTCGTAAGTAGACCTATCTGAGCAAATTTGTGGAATGCTAGCTGGAACACGTTCGTCTAGTATTTTAAGTCTACAATTGTTGACAAAGTCACAGTCTATCTTATAATTATTGTTGACAGTAAGGTATGTGATATGGAATACTCAAATCACGAATAGTATAGAAGGAAAAGAAAGGAATTAATTATCTTTCAGCTCTGTTCCGCTATTCGCAAAAGTCAGGAAGATTTATATTTATTTTGACTTAAACAATTTGTTCGGTTTCGCTATCAAAATTTCGATGCGAGTAGTTCTGTTTCTTTGGAAAGAGAAAATAGTGGAGAGGAAATTTGTTCTCGTTGAGACAGTGAGTATCTACCTTGACTGATAAATTAGAAGAGAAGGGAGAAATTTCTCTGAGATAGAGGGAAAAAAACGTGCTCACTCACTTCCTTTTTTTTTTTTTTTTTTTTTTTTTTTTTTTTTTTTTGGGGGGGGTAGAAATCGTAAGTTTTTGAGAATTTCTCTAAGTTGTGTGTCACTTTGATATGGTAATTCTTATTTAAAATATTATTATTTTAACTAATTTAGTCAGTAGATACTTGGAAGCTGACTGCTAAATAACTCAAGGATCGTAAAATTCCAGGATCAGTATAAAGAAATACTGAAATTAAGATGGAATGCTTTAAAGAATTCAACCCGTATTTAAGATGAATAGTTAGCTCAGTTTACTCATCTGTGCCAACTAAAATTAATAGCTCTATTATTGGCGTTTTCGGCGGCTGCCTATTGGGTGCTTCCACAATAAAATGGCCACCACTTCTGGCTTAGTAGAGGCCAATGCCGTTATAGGCAAGTGCACGCCATTGGAAACAAGTTATTGGCCTTTTCGTCTTAATTGTTTTTGTTGTCGTTCTTAGCAAATTGGGAATCTTGCTTGCTTTTAAATTGTCCAGGTAAAATATGAATTTTTCTGTAGCCATACAGAATTTAAACTCTCAATTCATGGCCGCATTTATTCACTTAGAACTCCGTTCGGGTACTTTCAGTCATATTTTACAGCTGGTTTGCGATTTTTTATACTTCTCTGATGTTAAATGAAGAAACTTCTTTATGTGAGTAACTTTATCTGCAATTCTGAGTTGAATAGTAATAAGAATTGTACTGTTGACATTTTATTGTAATTGCAGTCTAAATGTTTCTTAACATGTTAATGTTTAAGAAGTTTTTAAACTAAATTTAATTAAACAATACATTGTAGTCTTTCAAAGCCACAGCATTGTTTGAAATAGAAAATAACACTTAATTACTGACTGAATGAAATGATTGAAAATAGTTTAAAAATTTAGAGAAGGATAATACAACTTGAAATTAATCCTCGTTATAAAACTGATGGCTTTAACTTGCGTGTTACAATTTTAAATTGAATTAAGTTATTCGAATTATAATATAAATTTGCTCAGTTGCTACTTGTATATGAAGAGGATGTTTTAGTTCAAAACTTTAATAATACCATTCACTTGTATTTACGGAGACTAACATGAAAGCTTTTCGCAACCAAAGACGAAATTGACAATTCGGTGAAGCTGTTAATGTTCTGTGTATTTTCCACTATTGGCTGAAAGTATGCTTTATTTATTGATAGAATGCTTGGTGGGAAAAGGCAAAATCATTAGAAAATGCACGTGAAAACTATTAAAAGGGACAGTTTATTGAAAAAGTAGTAACTCTTTCAAAAAATATGCTTCACCAATGGAAGCTTCTTTATTCCTTGTAAAATCAGAACAGAATCCTGCTTAAAAGGAACGGCGGAGAAAAGTAATGTTGAATAACTGGATACCGAGTTGAATATTTGTTAAATAAACCAGACTTAATTCTATTTTTTAAATCAAATTTCTTTTCACAGTTTCATTAGACTGCATATTTTATGATAAAAACAGGAGACTTCAAAATAGGTATGGGGGAAAAGAACAGAAAAACAGGAAATTGTTACCCCCGAGAGAATCTTCATATATATATAGTGGTCGAACGCTACTGCTGCTAAGTAGTACGACCAAGAAACTCGAATTTCGACTCAGTATTTTAAATAATGGGGGTTAGATAACATAAATGTATTGTAACACATACTTTTGCTTCAGAATGTGATATGTGTTTATTTCTTCTTTTCAATATTGAAAATATTTTGTGTAGGTTATTTGAAAAAAACCATTCCCCGAGATGTTCCTCCCCACTCCCGATTCGCATAAATAGCGTGCTACCAAAACTTTAACTTTGGCGGTGGAAAAGAATTATCAGAACACCAAAAGCGAGTGGCAGCATAGAAAGGAATGTCAGAGGAGGAAACTTATTAATTTTCCCTTTTCTGGTTTAAGATTTGAATTCTGTGTTTGAAATTACAGTTCTTTTAATTTTGCCTTATGTATAATAAACTAAGAATGAATATCATAATTCCTTTTAGTAGAAGAAAGACGTCTGTGTTGACGAGGGAAGAAAGAAATTTCTGTCAGTAGCAATCAATCGTAATCTGTTTCTTGCGTTGCACAGAAGCTTTTCGCAAAATTACATAATTGTTTAAATATTTCATACAATTTGGTAAAAATATCATTTGATTATAATCAATTGAAATTTTTCTGAGCTGAAATTTCAATATTATCTTTAAACTCTTAGCTGTTGCGTTTGCGCAATTTTGGCAGTAAACGATATTAAAATATCGGTTAAAAATGAGGAAACTGTATAAAATAGTTTTAAAATTTATTATAATTCCGTGTGACATCTTGAATAGGTTTATGAGTTTATACTAATTGAATAACTAATTTCAGTTGAAATTCATCAGCTTGTCAAATAAAGTATTTCTGTAGTGTTTTAGAACATGTATGAATAAGAGCATTTTTACATTTATTAGTTCGATGAACAGCAAACGGTGGGGGGCATAAAGATAACAAAGACGTGTTTGATATTTGAGGATATTAATAAAAAGTCATGTCTGTTATCTGCTGAATGTAATTACTTGTAACCAATGAAAAGAGAACTTTTATACCTTGAAATTAAAGAAATATCGCTACAAATTTTAGTTTCTATTTCATTGATTAATTTTTCTACATTTGGAAGATCCACAATTAAGCAAGTAGTAGTATATTCAGGTTTCTTTATTTCCTTTTCAGATTTCAAGGAATATTTTCATAGTTTTTTTTTTCTCTTGGATTTTTGTCCTCATTTACATTATTCTTGATGAATTTCGTCATCTCTATTTGTAGGAACTTGAAGTTGACCTGCTGTTTCTTACGGTAAATCATTGATTGCAACAATAAGACCATCGTAACCTTCTTCTTCGCCACTTATTTCACCTACCTGAGAAGGCAGAACGACAAGATCAGCTTCATAAGCATCATCTTAGCGTACCATAGCAAGAGCTTCTTCTGAAGTTAAATAAACTTCTTTTAGCATATTTCAATTACAGAATAAAACTTTTGCAAAATAAACTCATTATCTCCGTAAATATTAAAAATAAAAATATATATTTGTATAATAAGAATATATGAACATGTAAGCAAATTTTAGTGAATAAAGGTTATGAATT